AAGCACAAAGGACCTTTAGAGATGCAATAAAATCTCTAATCCTAGCAGAATCGAAGCAGGACAGTGCATGGGGAAGCAAACAAGAACATGAAAGTTACAATATGAGAGCTATGAAATGATAAAGGCCTAACTACACAATAAGGTAAAGGTAAAGGCCCTCCCGTTGATCGTCGATTTGCTCGAGCGGGCCCAGTAACGTCTCCATTGGAGACTTTGTTGTTACTGTGTCTGGCATATCCAATACTCTCGGTAGCTTGCCGGGCTCTCCGAGAGGGGCGGAGGAATCGAACTCGGGTCGGCCATGTTGGCCGCTTGTAAGGCGAATGCCCTACCCGCTGTGCTATCGCTCCAGCCCACTACACAATAATGAGGATTAAAATGCTAGAAATAAGAAAATTCTCAGGTAAAATTTCTCAGGTCAGAGTAATAGTATAGCAGTTAGGGGGTTTGTCTTGCACACTGCTCTCCCGTTTTGATTCCCAGCATCCCATATGTTCCAAAAACACTGTCAGGAGTAATTCCCGGGTGCTAAGAATGGCAGGGTATGACACAAAAACAAAAAGAAAGGAAAAGAAAGGAAAACAAAACAAAATTACCTGGTAAAGAAAAGAATTCTGGGGCCAGAGAGATAGTCAAAGGGTAGGGCACTTGCTTTGCATATAGCCAACCTGAGTTCATTCTCCAGTGTGTCATATAGTGCCATATAGCCTCAAGTCAACCAGGAGTGATCCCTGAGCACAAGCTCTGAGCATCACTGGATATAACTCAAGCACAAAAAAAAAAAAAAAGATAAGGGTAAGAGATATAAGATGCAAGTGCAGAAAAGTTCAAAACATGAAGCTCGCAACTCTCTCTGGTAGAATCTCGGACAAAGATAAACTTCCTTTTAAAGATTTGTGACAAAGTGGAGTTCGTGCCTAATTCAATCAGCCTAATCAATGGCTGAATAAATAGCAATACTCCTACATTAAAATAAAAAAAATAAATAAAAATAAAGATTTGTGACAACATGTATAGAAGGGCTACCAACCAGAGCCTCAGGAAGATTTGGTATATAGGTTTACTCAGTCTTTATTACAGAGGAGGAAAGGTACAGAGGACAAAAGAGGAAAGTAACCAAGGATGCTTTAATTGAGTGGAGTGTACAGCAGCAGGTTTGCTGTATACTAAGTGTTGCTGTCAGAAAACGCTTACCCACATGAAACTATTGCTTGGGGAAAAGCGGTACAGTTTGAGATGATGGCATTTGGGGGGAAGTTTAATGTTATACCATATAGGCTTACCCGAAGAAAAACCTGAATGCAGCAGAGAGAACATTAAATCAGAGTAAAAATAACTTTAGATGTTTAGATGGTCACTAGGAAAGAAGTATTATAAAAATTAAAAATAACCCCCCACGAGCGGCTCTCCAGCACAGCCACGGCCCCAGAAGCACAAGGACTTAATGCAGAACCCGGCAGCTTGGAGCAGAAAAGTGAACGGACTATGCATTGACCCAGGCCATCAAGTCTGCCGGAGGGGAAAGGGTGTTGCCCCATTCGCCCTCTCCTCTCTGGAAAGAAAGATGGCGGCCACATGGGAGCCTTGTGGACAGCAGGTATGAGCCGGGAGTGTGGGGGCGACTAAAACCTCATGGGAAGGGGGGCGTTCCGGTCCGTCCTTCACGCCCTACCGAGGTCACCAGTTCCCCCCCACGAGCGGCTCTCCAGCACGGCCACAGCCCCAGAAGCACAAGGGCTTAATGCAGAACCCAGCAACTTGGAGCAGAAAAGTGAAAGGACTATGCGTTAATCCAGGCAATCATTTCTGCCCAGAGGGGAAAGGGTGTTGCTCCCTTCCGCCCTCCTCCCTCTGGAAAGAAAGATGGCGGCCACATGGGAGCCTTGTGGACAGCAGGTATGAGCCGGGGGTGTGGGGGCGACTAAAACCTCATGGGAAGGGGGGCGTTCCGGTCCGTCCTTCACGCCCTACCGAGATCACCAGTTGCCCCCAAAGCGGCTCTCCAGCACAGCCACGGCCCCAGAAGCACAAGGACTTAATGCAGAACCCAGCAGCTTGGAGCAGAAAAGTGAACGGACTATGCATTGATCCAGGCTATCAAGTCTGCCGGAGGGGAAAGGGTGTTGCCCCATTCGCCCTCTCCTCTCTGGAAAGAAAGATGGCGGCCACATGGGAGCCTTGTGGACAGCAGGTATGAGCCGGGGGAGTGGGGGCGACTAAAACCTCATGGGTCGGGGGGCGTTCCGGTCCGTCCTTCACGCCCTACCGAGGTCACAAGTCGCCCCCCGCGAGCGGCTCTCCAGCACGGCCATGGCCCCAGAAGCACAAGGACTTAATGCAGAACCCAGCAGCTTGGAGCAGAAAAGTGAACGGACTATGCGTTGATCCAGCCCATCAAGTCTGCCGGAGGGGAAAGGGTGTTGCCCCATTCGCCCTCTCCTCTCTGGAAAGAAAGATGGCAGCCACATGGGAGCCTTGTGGACAGCAGGTATGAGCCGGGAGTGTGGGGGCGACTAAAACCTCATGGGAAGGGGGGCGTTTCGCTCCGCCCTTCACGCCCTACCGAGGCCACCAGTTGCCCCCCACGAGCGGCTCTCCAGCACGGCCACGACTCCAGAACACAGAAACCAATTTCTTAACTATCTGACTTTCAGTAGAAATACTTCCAGGGTCAATAGGTAAAATAGCAGAAATCCAAAACCAACATTTAATTCTTGAACCCAGCTGTAGAAAGCAAATCACTTCACAATGCTTTTTCAGCATGTCTGATTTGGGGGGGGGGGGGGGGGAAACTCTAAATAATAGTGGTGAATCTTTTATTGAAACAATCTAATCAAAGCGGATAGAGTGTTAACTAGAATTCATCTGCCTCACAGGGACGGGGAGGGGTGGGGGGTGGGGTTTTATTGGGGTTCTTCATGGGAGAAAATAAGTATTGGTAAAGGGAAATGTGTTTGATATTTGCATGACTGAGACATAAACCTGAAAGCTTTGTAACCTTTCCCACAGTGATTCAATAAATAAATAAAAAAAAAAAATTAAAAATAAATGCTAAATCTTCCCTGCTACTTAAGAAAACTAAACTTAATTTTTAAAAATTATTTTCTACATAGGTGAGAAATGCACTTGCCTCTCTCTAGAAGCAAACAGATTAGCTAGGCATGATGTTATGCCTTGCAAATAAACTATTAAAAATGAGAAATATTCCTTTTTTAATATGTCCATGCCACCTTCCATGCTCAGAATTTCAAAGCTGAGAAAGTCTTTATTTGGCCTATGGCAAATTTTAGCACATGTTTATGCAAAACTTAAATTACCATGAAAATCTAACAAAAGGGTAGGTGAAGCAGAAGGAACAACTAATTAAATGGAGTTGAGGTTCGCTGCTCATTCTGTTTAGGGTCAAATAATAATTTATAAATCTGCCTGAGCACATTAAACAGAAAAATAACTCATTAGACAATGAGTACTCAAATTACTATAAAATCTGAAGACAATATACCTTCTTGAATTTTTTTTTAAAAATCATCCAAGTATGCCTAATGACATCCCAGATACGCAAGACATATTGAATAGAGGTTAGCAATAGAAGTTTTATTGAGTCAAAGAATTTGGGCACAATTGGGCAAGTTCCTTATATTGTGCAGTTTCCTCAGGTGAAACAAATGAGAAGCAAAAGACTGCCTGGCACAAGAAGGCTGTAACAACTGTGACTTAGACTATGAAAACCTTTCAGGAACGTGGATTTATTACACACTACTATTCATTGTTCTCTGTGAAGGAAGACAGCCGCTCTCAAACTGTGCTTTGAAATAAAAACCACAATCTGATGCCTGAGATATGACCAAGGGGCAGACCACCTGAATTGCATCAGAGGCCCTGGGATGAATCCTTCCATGTTGTCCGGAAACACAATTATAGGTAGTCTTGTGGACTACTAGTACTGCCACACATACACACACACACACACACACATAGTATATTTTCATATAACAAGATTTGCAAGTTTCTAAGAGTAAACACCATCTAACCCAGTTAGATATTCAAGAGCAATGGAATTTTCCCCACTCAGCAAAATTTACTGTGCTTTGCCCCTAACTCTGTACCTTTGTCTCTCAGTCCAAAACACTTGGTTTTCCTCTCTTACCACCATGAAGTCGATAACTGGCTTCTAACGTATTTGCTGACACCCTCAGGCTTTGTTAGAACAGACAAGTTACGTTTGCTTATTTTTATCAGATTACCTGTGGACTCATCGTGGTTTATGATACTTAGCAAATAGGAGCTTATAAAGCTGTAATCACAACTCTGCTCCCATATAAACACACCAGGGCAGCAAACTGCAAGCAAAATTGACAGGACTACAATCCTCCTCTTCATATTCCGAAAGACCTGGTGTACTTACTAAGCGCTCAATATAAAGAGCCCACAGAGACATTCTGACCAGAGATAAAACTCATTAAACATCCAAACCATTTTTTTTTACTTATTCACAAAATGAATGTCTGTTTTGTGTAACACATTTAAAGAATTTGTGTTTGAGCAGGCATGTGTGTTCAAGAGTCAGCAAGAGCTCTCAGGAAGAAAGAATGACTACTGAATGTCTTTAGCTGAGATGAAAGCAGAACTAGATTTAAGGATCTTTTGTATCTCCAAAACCAGTCAACTATTTTCTAAATTGTTAAGAATTTTCTCTCACAGTGTAATTAATTCTGCCACTGTGGAAGGCAGTCCTATTTTAAGGAGCAAAGCAAGAAGCAAAGCCCAAGGCAAGCGCTTAACATCTTACTGTCACTGTCAAGTGTTGTTCCCCCCCCCCCCCCTTTCTGCCAGCCTCTTATATGACTGACTTCTCATTTCTGTCCTTTTTTGGTCACAGTGGGAAAGGGCAACCAGGTTCAGATTCTTTATATTTTACCTGCATAGAACCCCTCCCCCCAAAAGGGCTTCTATCTTCCATTCTGTGGCAAAGCATCAAGAGAGGAATCAATCATACTAACCTTACTGTATTCCAGACATCTCCAAGTTCTTTGGAATATTGTTTTTCAAAATGATCCAACACAACTTTGCAAATCTGTTTTGCAAACTTCCTCTCAGAGTTTTTATTCAGCTAAGATAATAAGAAGAAAAAAAAAACTGCTGACACACTGTTACCAATACAAATTTATTGAACTTCAACATCAGCAGCCCTTTTAAAAAAAATAATACGGGGCGGGGGGGGGGGTGGGGTGGGGAGGAAGGGAGTTAATGACTAGTTTCTCACTTGTACTGTTACTATAATTGTATTCGCATTGCATTACGATACTCTTATGGGGGAGGGGGGGTGTTCCTCAAACGATTATTGCTCAAACGTGATGCAAAGACTGAAGCATAATATAGAGATTAACAGAAGAAGGTGAGTTAAAGGACCAATTTAAATCCGTGCCTTCAGAGGCTAGATTTAGGGAAAACAAAGAGCATGCCAGAGCTATGTTTACAACTTTAATATTGAGCCCCCAATCATTCCCAAAGAAACATTTCAGTTGGCCGGTTTTCCCAGACACTTCGCGGGCAATCCCGGCTCATTCATTAGGATGCCGCTTATTTGCGGGGAAATTTTCGGAGGTCGGTTAGCAGCACGACTCTCAGGTCCCAGGAGAGGGTCGCAGCTGAGCCAGTCCGCGAGGAACCGGCGTTCGGGGCTCCGTGGCGTGGACAGGAGGAACCCGAGTTGGCCGGCAGAGGCGCGGGGCCGGAATCCCCGCGGTGAGGAGCACGAGTCCGGAGCTTCCCGCCGGGAAACTGAGCAAACAGGGAAGTGACCCTTTTCCCCCCAACCCAGCCTTCACCCCTTCGGCTCCACTAAACGGGAACGCTTCCGTGAGAGGCGCCCAGCCCACTACCGGATCCCAGCCCTCACCCGGACCAACATGATCCCACCAGCAAGTCTGCAGCACACGCCAGCTTAGGACACCCTCGACCAAACCGAGACGCGACCACAACTTCCGGCATCTGCTGGAACTCGCGTCCATCCCCACTTCCGGCCCCGCCTCTCGCGAGAAAACCTTTCGGCGTGACTGAACTCTAGCCCGCGGACCGAGAGGCCGTGAAAGGCCCCGGGACGGCCCTTTGGGGCGTGGCGGTGGAAGAAGGTGGCGGTGAGGCCGTTGCTGGTGAGCGCGGCCTTTGGAAAAGTCCAGCCCCGAAACTTGACTGGCTAGTCTTTGTCATCCGAGGTTCAGTAAAAGAGTAAAATAGTGTTTTGTTCTCTGTTTGTTTTAAAATCGCCTCAACGGGGCTGGAGCGATAGCACAGCAGGTAGGGCGTTTGCCTTGCACGCGGCCGACCAGGGTTCGATTCCCAGCATCCCATAAGGTCACCGGAGCACCGCCAGGAGTAATTCCTGAGTGCATGAGCCAGGAGTAACCCTTGAGAATCGCGGGTGTGACCCCCCCCCCCAAGAAAAAGCAAAACATAAAATCAAATTGCCTCAGTGACCGGTATGACAATAATAGCTGGGAATGATCACGTGAACGAGAGCTGAAGGTTGAAAGTAAAGGGATATTCTTGTAAACCATAATGCGAAGAGGAGAGGAGAAAGGGGGGGGGGGAGAGAAGGGGGAGGGGAAGAGAAGGAGAAGGAAGAGGAGGAGGAGGAAGAGAAGAAGAAAGAAAAGGGAGGAGGAAGAGGAGGAAGGAAGGAGGAAGGAGGAGGAGAACAAGGCAGGCAGTGGATGGTGATGAAGGGAAGGAACCTGGAGACACTGGTGCTGGGAAATGGACACTGGTGGAGGGATGGATGTGAGTACACTGTATGACTGAAATCCAATCACTAGCAGCTTTGAAAAAATAAAAAATTTAAAAAGCAAAAAAAATAATAACAAAATTGGCTCAGTTGAAAAGCCCGGTGACCAAATTCACCTACCCATTTTGAGTAACTCCTGCCACCCCTATTAGCCCCTTTTCAGAACTCAAGATAAAAGGAAGGGATGGCTGTGATGAAAAATAATCAGACACTGTCATTTCCTACATTAGTACCACTAGTATTTCTTGAAATCTAGGCAGTTAAATGATTAAATTCATTGAAATCTGGAAGCAACTAGGGAAGCAACTAGAGACTAGGAAACAGAATGTGTATTATTTTCACTATTATGATCGTGATGATCATTATTTCATTATATGAAACCCCTCCAAACTAGGCAACATGACCCTCCAAAATAGACCCCTCTCCCAGCTTTGCGAGAGGCAGTGCAGCTGGTTCTCAGGTAAGTATTATACCTAATCTGAGACCGCAGTTTATTTACTTTCATTTTAGTATTATAATTATGCTTCTTTGTAACAGTTTACCGTGCTTAGGAAAGGAGGTTAAAAATATTTAAATGAGGGGGTGAGATAAAAAAAAATCCATACTTAATACGGTAATATGGTGACTGCTATTAAATGAACATTTAAACCACTTTTCTCGATTCACTGTGTAAACTCTGCATTTTGAAGCCCTTGATGCTCAAAATACAAACATATACTACAGAGCAAGCCTTAGGCCCATGTGAAAACACCAGTGTTAAAGTTCAGTATAGTTAAGTCAATTCCCCGCTATTCTAAAAATGAATTTCATTTTGGTGCAAAATAGAATACTAAGGCATGAAATTAAATGATGCAACTTCTTGAATGTTGAGGGAAGAAATCAGTCTACATTTCATCCCCTAGAGATCTTATATGTTCTATGTTTTCTATACTCGTTAGAGAATGTTACACTTTTTGACTTAATATGAAGTATATTTGCAAGGTATATGAAAGAACAAAGGAGTAAATCAAATATATCAAAATATTTAAATAAATATCAGTTTAGAAGTTTATCAAAAAGAAACTAGCTTACTTACAATATTCAATCTGGCAGAGCATTAGCTCTTTAATATGGATGGCAGAAAGACCTAAAACATATGCTATCAAAGCAAGAAAACAAAGCAACAATTACCCAGGTGTCTGAACTGCCAGTCTGTTTACTGGTGTGATATAGGTATCAAAATAAATTTTTTCTTAAGCCACTGGATCTAGACAATATTGGACTTCGACTTGGGGTGAGTAGTTAGCAGACACTCTCATTTTATCATTTTTGGCATCCAACACAGTGTAGGCAATATAAAGAAGATAATTATCAGGACTCTGAAGTAAATCACTGTCACTGTCCTCCCATTGTTCATCGATTTGCTTGAGTGGGCCCAGTTAACATCTGCATTGTGACAATTGTTACTGTGTTTGGCATATCGAATACACCACGGGGAGCTTGCCAGGCTTTGCCGTACCAGTGAGATACTCTCAGTAGCTTGCTGGGATCTCTGAGAAGGGCAGAGGAATCGAACTCGGGTCAGCCATGTTGGCTGCGTGTAAGGCAAACGCCTTACCCACTGTGCTATCGCTCCAGCCCCTGAAGTAAATATTGCTTGTAAATATAGTTTAATCTAAATTTTAACTCATTTTTTAGGGAGCATGTAAATCTAGTAGTGCAATGGAACAAGTATATAATTGTTATGGGCTGTAATTTGTCACCTTTATTTTTCGTTTTTTGGCACACCCTGCAGTGCTCAGAGGACCACATGCGGTGCTGGGGATTGACTGAACCCAGGTCAGCTGCATGCATGGCAAATGTCCTACCCACTCTACTATAACCCCAAGCCCTGACTTTTACATTCAGATGTTTACTTCCTAATATTTAATATCTCAGAATGTAACTTTAGAAATTGATCATTTTTACAAAGGGACATATTAAAAGGCTACTTTTAGAGTGGGTAATTCAGCCTGACTGGTGTCTTTATGAAAAAGAGAAATATAGGTCAAACCGAGATACAGAGAAAGGACGATGGGGCCTGCAATTAGGTGGCTGTGTTTACAATAAGAAGAAACTTTTCTGCCCATCTTTGATCTTGAAATTAGAGGTTTTAATATGAGTTATGTCTTCACTTCCAGTACCTTCTTTTCATTATTGTAGTTGCAATAAATAAGGGGTTGCTCATATACTTGAATGAGGTGCTTGTACATTTTTACCTGTGGGACTCTCTGGGATTTACACATCAGTTCTTTGTGCTTGCACATTCTTGGTCAGTATTCATCAAGGTTTGCATTCCTTTAGCTGTGGTGCTTGCAGAAGTTTGCTGCAGGTCACACTCTTTAGTTGAGATAAGCTACTCAGTCTGGTACCCTTACGGCAGCCCTAGCCACCTAATACCTTAAATAGAAAATTAAGTTTTTAACTAAAGTGTATGTATGATCATAATAATCAAAGATCTCTTATCCATTTACCTAGGTCATATATTCTATTTCATCATTACACATAAACTGTAACAGGTTCTAAACAAGCAAATGATTTTCTTATTTTTCTTGGATTTTACTTCTGATTTTCCTTTTCCTTAAAGAAGCAACTTCTATTACTCTGCTCAAGAAGGTAACAGATTTCAATATTGAGCCATACTACCATCCTAATGTAAACTTTGAAATATATGTTTTGATTTTTGGATGAGTGAAATTTATGTCTTAGGGCGTTCGCCTTACACGCAGCCAACATGGCCGACCGGAGTTCGATTCCTCCGCCCCTCTCGGAGAGCCCGGCAAGCTACCGAGAGTATTGGATATGCCAGACACAGTAACAACAAAGTCTCCAATGGAGACGTTACTGGGCCCGCTCGAGCAAATCGACGATCAACGGGAGGGCCTTTACCTTTACCTTACCTTTACCTAATAAACAGTATCCAAGGGTCTACTGTAAAGCAGACCCTACTTTAAAAAAGCATATCCTACTTAGACATGAAAGCCAAGAATTACAAAATTGTAAGTTGTGTATTTATTTGTATAAGCAGTTTAGCTTTTGATAAAATTTTGATATCTAGAAGCATTAGAATTCTTTAGTGTGCAATAGGTATAACTGAATAGAATAGTTTATATAGAATCAGCTATCAAATGCTGTTAGAGTATTTAATATGAGATTTATTATGAGCATTTAATATGAGATCAACTACAGATATTAAAGGAAAATATCAGAGATACTGAAGATTTGGTTCTAGGTCACTGTAAGAGGGTTACTGCAATAAAATCCCACAAATGTTTTCTTTTCCAGAGAACTTTAAAGTTAGGTTTGTACTACACTGTAGCCAGTTATGTGTGCAAAGCACTGTTTAAAAAGAAATAATATACCTTAATTTTAAAAAGTACATGAACACTAAAAAATAGTAAAATCACCTAACCTACAGGAAGAAGAAACAGATAATAAGACTTGCTTATCATCCTTCCATTTGTAAAAAGTGAAACATCTGTAGAGCACAGTAAAGATGTACTCAAAGTACAAAACAAAGTCTGCCTATTTACCCCCACCCCACCCCAAGGGTCAGAGGTTGGGCCCTAACCAGCAATGTTCGAGACTGTGGTGCTGGGAATCAAAGATAGATGATGCATGCAAGGCAAGCACACTAGTCCCTGCACTATCACTCCAGCCCTCTAATGGCACATTCTATAAATGCCTCCTGGCTATTCACAGGAAGCTTTACATAATTTGTCTTCATTTGGCCCCTGAAAGAGCATTTACTTTTAAGCTTACAAAACACATGGTACTTAATTGCCTTTTACAAAGTTGTAAATTGCTTCCAGCATTATAAAGTAGGACAATTTAGAAGTCTGCACACTCAAGAAAAAGACACTATGAGTACTCTAAAAAATATCATTGGCATCGCTTTACTTTTCAGAGTTTTTCCCTTGCACGTTTTAGACTTGATTACACACAATATTGTATAGATATATAAACATGTATTTTAAACATCATTGTACAGAGAGTTAATCATATCTTTGGGCCATTAACAAAAGATAAATCACATAGAATAAGGTGACTGATATTATGACACAAGAAGAAGCATACTAATTTAACTTTTTTTATTGTCTGAAAATGTTATAATGATGATAAGGAATAAAAATGCAACAAATAATAAAATAGGCACATACTTGTTAAGTTCACCTGGATTTATAAAACAGCCTTTAAAATACTTTTAGAATACTTTAGATACAAATAGATATATAAAACATTTATTCTGCTTTATTAATTTCAAAATAATTTTATTTTTATTACATAAGCTGAATTATAGTATGCTATAATAACCACTAGTAGGAATAAAAATATTGTAATTATATTTTCTTTGAGAGTAGGTGAAAATAAGATAATAAAAGTATAAATTTCCCTTTCAAAAAATAATATATGTAAATGTTAATAAAGGAGTCAAAAAGTTTTTATAGTTATAATCTATCATATCTTCTTGTTTTGCTTTTCTCACATTTCAGTCACTATCAAGTTTAAGTTAGGAAGTTAAACATAAGATATAAAGTTTTTATTCAGCGTGCTGAGTAGCCTCAATGAACAAAATTCCTAGATACTTGATGCTGACTAGAGCAATAAGTGAACTGAATAATGAAAGTTCAAGGAGTCTTAGATATGCATAAAATATGTAATGTCAATTGTTTAATTAAATAACCATATTAAATCCTCTGACAAATATTTAATCATGTTATTATTTGAATATCAGGGGCCAATATATGTCATTTTCAATAAAAGTTACTACCTGGTCAGTTTTAACAAGGTGTTACGGGAATTATACTGTTTAGCCGTGATACAAATATACCTTTTCAATTAAGTAACATTAAAAATCTATTCCTCAAAATGTGCAACTAAAAAGTTTACCGAAAAGTCATATAGATAATTCTACAGATCCTATTCTTAAGAGTAAAAAGTGCTATTATTTTAAATTAGGTCACTATTTTGAAATTTTTTCTTTATGAAAGTAACTTTGAATTTTTCTTCTTATACTATAGGAGCCAAGTATTACCCAGTTGTATAACACAAGACTTTGAATCTAGAATAGTTTTAAAAACTACCTTTAATTTCAAGGCAAAATAATTTGAATCACTTTAACTTCTAATAAAACAGGTACTTTTAAGAATTAAATTGATCTCTTAGAGTATATTACCTTCAAAATTGTTGTTTGGGAGTTTCTAATAATATCTTATAAAACATTTAATTTTTTAAACCATTCAGGTCAAAAAAGGTTTTCAATTCTTTCATTTGGATAATCACCAAAGAAAACCAATAACAACAGCACAATTGAACACTTCTTGGGTGATGCTTTAAAATCACATAATTTGATAGATTAAAGATCTTACAATTCATGCTTAAATGGCATTAATTTTTAAATTAGGTCAAAGTAAGATGCTCACTTCAAGAACAGACTAACTGTAAAGCCTACCACAAGTAACATTAATATGTATCCCATTTGTTTCATTTGACCAGTAAATCAATTCCATTTTCCAGACACAATTTTTTAAGTATCTATAGAAAAGTGCAGTCAGTACAACAGCTGTTAAATTTCTTTTTAAAAAAGTTTTAGAAAAATATAAAAAGTTAAAAATTTAAGTTATAAAGTCCTAAAAGTTCTCCTCTGTACACATGCACCTTATCAAAAACAAAAACAAAAAGAATAAAAACCCTGCTTTTGGATAAGAAAAAAGAATATTAAATAAACAGGAAAGAATCTGTACAGAGTCCATTGGCTCTTTTACTGAAGAGTTTTCTTTAGGACTACGTCCAGGAGTGGAATGTAAAAAACAGTGTCAACACTAAATCTTGCTAAGTTGTTCAAATGCTCATCCCATGTGCTGGTCATTTTGCTATCTTTTTTCTTTTCTTTCTTTTTTTTGCTTCAAAAAATAAAAACATGAAGAACATGGATAGGTAATTATTAGATCAGCCAGGTCTTTGGTGCCTCACTGTAATTGTTAGCCCAGCAAAATCAATGCCCCAGCCATCACAGTCCAGGCTTTTCTTCGAGATAGGCATTCCCTGTCTTCGTGCAGAAATTCAGAAAGTTCACCCACACAGTTATGAGATCACATCATGGGCATCACTGTTAGGTTTGTGCCGTGCAGTCAGTGGAGGCAGTGGTTTCCCATAAAAATCTATGAAAATATTAAACCAAAAAGACCAAACAATTATTAAGTTGAAAGGTTTTTTACACAATACATTATTTCTCTACCAAGATCTTTTAAAGATGTAACTAAAGAGTTATAAGATACTCTCATGATGTGATGGAATATGGAAAGCATAGGGGGAAAAATGAATCCAGAAAAAATAAATTGAAAGCAAAAGCACTGGGATAAATTCATATCAACAAAATGAATGTCTACCTGACAATAAAAACCTCTACCTAAACCATAGATTATTCCAATTACATGTTCACATTAGAAGCCTAAGTATTCAGGCTCACTTAAACACTAAAAAATGCCTCCCAATCCAACCCTACAGTCATTTCTAATTCAACATGTATAAATATATTAGTAAGCTATTCCATGATATTATCTCAACATTCATCTTATCGGGAAAAGTGACTTGAACAATAGATATAATAACATTATTTCCCTACTAGAACTGTTATGTTTTTGACAAATTATACCAAGTCCAACATTTTAATATTTATGTAAAACTTTCACAATCTGACTCTATATCCCAAATCAAAATTCATCACTTTGGATAACTTCTAAAATTTCCTCTTTCTTACCCACTTTGCCCCCCATAATTTAAATTTTAATCACAAATGACTTTATGCTATTTTCCAATTAATAAATGTCCTTTCAAAACTTTCCCTTTAAAAAATCTGTTGCTCTGCCTTCTTGAAACTCTCCAGTTTTAGATAAGCTATTGCTTTTACCGGCTGGTTTCTTCTCACTCTTTGAAGATCCAATTTGAATACCATTACCCTAGATAGTATTCGATATGCCAAACACAGTAACAAGTCTCACAACATTACTGGGCCCGCTCAAGCAAAACTGATGAACAACGGGAGGACAGTGACAGTGACCCTAGATACGACTACAGTTTGTGCACAGTATTCTAACTGTGCACTACTGTGAGTATTCCAATTCTTACTGAGTTTTGTGAATTGTCATAGTGTTAGGTAATGGCCTGACTAATGATATGGGCAAGGTCATGGAAGCATAAGACAGGATGGAGAAGGGCAAGCAATGTCAACAGACTGCCCCAAGTTAGATGTCTGCCAGCTAGGCTTCAAGTGAGCTGTCACTGTCACTGTCCTCCCGTTGTTCATCGATTTGCTCGAGTGGGCCCAATAACATCTCCATTGTGACACTTGTTACTGTGCTTATCAAATACCTCACGGGTAGCTTGCCAGGCTCTCTGAGAGGGGCAGAGAAATCGAACCTGGGTCAGCTCGGTCAGCTGCATGCAAGTCCACGTGCAAGGTCCTACCCACTGCGCTATCGCTCCAACCCAAGTGAGCTACCAATCCTAATTTTAAATAGTTCTATGACTGTCTACAAGGTCTGTCCCTTTGTTACAAACAGGGGACTTAATTCCGGGTCAATCTCAGGTGACCACTGAGTGACCTTCAGCTCATTATACAATCATTAGAATATATTAACATATCAAAATCACACCCAGAGGTACCAGCACTGGTTTAATAATTACCCTGGCAACTCGCATATGTGGCCATATATGGTCACAACCTCAGACCCCAAGGTATCCCCCCAATTTGGGGAAGACAGTAAGTATAAAAGAAGTGAAAGACACAGAATGGTTTTAACCATTGACCCAACTCCCTATTTGCAGAAATGTCTTTGCTACTCTTATCATTTTATCAATATAGACTACTATTAATAGGATTGTAAGCTGAAGTACTATCTTCTCCATTGGGATACCCAGAAAGACAGAAAGTATATTTTAATAACCTCAGTATTAGCAATGTTTTATCTGGTTTCATATATAAAATAGCTAATGTGTAATTCATAGGAAGAAAAATGTCATATCACAAATTAGTTTTCTATTTACTTGTAAAAGCATGTTTCTATACACCTATATTAAAACTGTTTTCTAGCAATATTTTAACTGAAAGTACATTCCAAATGTACTTCACAAGTAAATTCACAAGTCCAGAGACAAATAAGAAAATAATACTATTAAGAGTAAATAAAAACAGATGTTGTTTCACTGGAAACATCATTTCAATGATTCTGATATTCTAAAGACAAACTTTTCTGTCTTTAGAAATAAAAAAAAAATCATTTAATATTCACTAGTAACTACAATGTCATTACAGTAAATTTTTAAAGAGCTATTTAATATTAATATACTTAAAATTTGAATCAAATAAAATTTAACATTCATATATTTGAATCAAAATATACTTGAATTGTATTTTAATATAATTTCAAATTATATGATTATTTTCTAAAGATTAAATTGCTGACTTTTAGCAAATCCTATCTGATTTTCTTTTGAAAACAAGTTTTAAATTATGTAAAAATAGAGTCATCCTTAATGCAGAAACCAACAGCTTGGAGCAGAAAAGTGAACGGACTATGCGTTAATCCAGGCCATCATGTCTGCCCGGAGGGGAAAGGGTGTTGCTCCCTTCCGCCCTCCTCCCTCTGGAAAGAAGGATGGCGGCGGCATGGGAGCCTTGTGGACAGCAGGTATGAGCCAGGGGTGCGGGGGCGACAAAAACCTCATGGGAGGGGGGGCGTTCCGATCCATCCTTCACGCCCTACCAAGGTCACCAGTTGCCCCCCACGAGCAGCTCTCCAGCACGGCCATGGCCCAGAAGCATAAGGACTTAATGCAGAACCCAGCTGCTTGGAGCAGAAAAGTGAACGGACTATGCATTAATCCAGGCCATCATGTCTGCCTGGAGGGGAAAGGGTGTTGCCCCATTCGCCCTCTCCTCTCTGGAAAGAAGATGGCGGCCACATGGGTGCCTTGTGGAGAGCAGGTGTGAGTTGGGGGTGTGGGGGCGACTGAAGCCTCATGGGAAGGGGGGCGTTCCAGTCCGTACTTCACGCCCTACCGAGGCCGCCAGTTGCCCCCAACGAGCGGCTCTCCAGCACGGCCACGACTCCAGAGCACAGAAACCAATCTCTTAATTATCTGACTCTCAGTAGAAATACTTCCAGGGTTAATTAGCAAAATAGCAGAAATCCAAAACCAACATTTAATTCTTGAACCCAGCTGTAGAAAGCAAATCACTTCACAATGCTTTCTCAGCATGTCTGATGTGGGGGGAGGGGGTAAACTCTAAATAATAGTGGTGCATCTTTTATTGAAACAATGAATCTAATCGAAGCAGATAGAGGGTCAACTAGAATTCATCTGCCTCGCAGGCATTGGGAGGGGTGGGGGATGGGGTTTTATTGGGGTTCTTCATGGTAAAAAATAAGTATTGGTAAAGGGAAAGGTGTTTGATATTTGCATGACTGAGACCTAAACCTGAAAGCTTTGTAACTTTTCCCACAGTGATTCAATAAATAAATAAATTATTTTTTTAAAAAAAGGCAAAAAAAAATAGAGTCATCAGGTAGGGAGCTTCAGAATTCTGTAGGATAATGTTAAAATTACTCAACCCATAAAATCACGTTTTCAACTCAAGTACATTTTCAAATACAAACACCAGTTTAAAGAGATTTATGTGTTTCTATATTAAATGTACTATTACATGCACTGAGCTAATGTTGGAAATAACCTGAGTGTTCATAGACAGATAAGTATATGAGGAAATAGTAGCAGATGTATGTACATACATACACATATAAACATAAACATAATTACATTCACAATTGCATATTGTTTAGCTATAAAAAAGGAAATCATGCAATTTTCAAGAATATGGATAGACATAAGGGTTTTGGGCTTAGTGAAATAACTCATATGAAGAAAGACAAACACCATATAATTTCAATCATATATGGTATACACACTAAAAAAATGAAAAAAAAAATGAATTGAATAATAATAAGCTCTCAGACTCTAAGACCAAACTAATAGTTGTTAGAAAAGAAGGTAGGTGGATAAATCATGTCAAAGGAATCCTTGGAGCGAGAATAATAGTGCGGTTGGTAAGCTGTTTACTTGTACATGGCCAACCTGGGTTAGATCCCCAGCACTCCATATAGTCCCCTGAGCCTGTCAGAAATGACCCTTGAGTGCAGGGTCAGGAATGTAGTGCTCAGAAGATCACATGTGGTACAAGGGATTGAACCTGGATTGGCTGTGTACATTACAAGTGCCCTACATGCTGTATTTCCCTGGCCCTAAACATTACTTTGAAAGGAGGAACTAAATATTCTTAATGAAGAAATGGCTGAGCTGCAATATACATATAAGTATCCTTCAGCATTCTAGAAATATTTTACTGAAAGAAAATATGTTGATGGTCTAAAATCAGAATGTACTGATAAATATTGAGTAAGACAAATTTCTATTATCAACTGAAGATTAGTTTAATTTTTTTTGTTTAGGGGCCACACCTGGCAGTGCTCAGGGCTTACTTCTGGATCTGACCTTAGGGATCACTTGTGGTGGTGACAGGAGATCATATGTGCTAGGGATCAAACCCAGGTGGGATACAGAAAATCATTTTATTTCACTTAACAAAGTCTTTCTCATTTTATTTGGCTTGCTTATTTCAACTTTGAGGATGTTCATTTCATTTTAATATTCAACAAGTGGAGATCACTTTAGGAGTAGAGAAGAAATAATGTGGAATGACCAGTAAATATACTGAGCACATAAAAAAACCTGCAGTCGTTTTAAAAAAATATTGCTATGATTATGTCTTATACTTACTTAAACTGCGTTAGCATCTTCCTTGTCATAAGTACTTGAATAAATATACAATGGATAAGTATGTGACATTGTTTCTATCTTCATATCACACAGTAAACTTCAAATCAAACTATGTAGAAGTAAAATATACAAAAAAGAAAAGAAAAAGAAAAGAAAAAATAAAAACAAAAAAGTATAATGAAAATGAATGCCTGTGAATTTAAAAGGCTTCCAAAAATAAAAGTTTGATGAAGTACTCTACTAAAGTTAAGAAAAAGTGGATTTAATATGTACAGACATTTGAAAACTGTTACTTTGGCATTACCATTATGACGTGTTTCACCCAGTGGCTCAAGTTTTGGAAGTCTAGTGACTTTGGGAGTTCCCCAGACAACTAAAGAAAAAGAAAAACATTAAAAAACACTTTTGAAAAATAACTCCTTAGATCTTTTGAAAAGATATCTCCTTGGACACAAAATGTACATCAAAATCTATTTCAATTCAAAATACTGAGGGACACAGACCAAATAGCTCAAGTTCTATTTGGATCACTTCTATTTCAAAATACAATTATAGACAAGCAACATCTACTTTAAATTTTCATATCTTTAAACTGTATCTATTACATTTACTTTATAAATATCACCTTTTACTACTATTCTAACCCCATGAAAAACTAAAAGAAGTATTTACTGAATATTATATATGTATCTTAAGGTCATTCCTAAAGAAAATCATAACCAACTAAAATATTTTAGCAGAGCTATAAGATACAAACATATTCATTTAAATATTTACTGAGCATGTTAAAAGTTACGAAGTAGTGTGCATTGCACTGAACATTATAAATTAGTGTGCAGTTAGAATCTTCCTATATTTTACAAACAATACTCAATAACAACTTAAGATCAATGTATAAGCAGGAAACAACTGAAAATATAAAGCAAAAATTCATATATCTTGATTCCAAATGTTAACTCTCAGAATTAAATCTCATATTAGGATCTATTTAGTAAGCCTAAACTAAGCCTAAACTAAAGTCCTTTAGAAACCTGGGTTCTGGACTCCATATAAGATTTGAATACATTCTAGGAAGTACTTGGATAAGGTTCTTATTTATCATAAAAAAATTTCTAAATGGTTTTTCTTATATAAAAAAGAATAGATTATTTTTAACAATGGAGGCATCAAAGAACACTTTTTCAAAAATTTTAAAATATAATGAATCTACTGAATGAAACCTATGTGATTTTATTTGACCATTATTTAAAGCAGTGACCGTAAACTCAGTACTCACCAGGAGGGGGCGGTGGAGGTGGTGTTGGACTCTTAGGAACAGAGTCGTCTGTATTCAGTGGTTCTACCCGATGACTCCTTTTTATTCTTAGCTTTTTAGTTTTCTTTTTATTGCTATCTAAAAGAACATAAACATGGAAGCTTTTATGACATCGAGGTAAATTTCTATAAAAATACAACTAGAATATCATCATCATGTATCTTTAAATTAAACATTAGTAATTATTACCAATAGAATATGAGCTGTCTTACAAAGGATAATTTTTTAAATGACTGTTATATAAAAAATACAGATTATACAAACAATAAAAGCCTAAATTTTTAGTTCTGAGATTATTCAGTATTTAAAAAAAAAACTTCCAAAAGTAACATCTTTTATCCAAATATCATAAGGCAGTATAACTGTCTAACCTACAGGGATTTCCATGAAATTGAAAAAAAATTATAAAGAGAGGTAAAGTGTCAATTGTCTCAGGAACATACGTAGAATGATTTAAAATCCTCTGGAATATGGAAAAAGATGTCACTCAAATATAAACCTATCTATGCTCAATGATGCACATATAAATATTAAAAGAATATCCATGTTATTTTACACCTACAAAAATCATTATTATGATTATCTTAGATCTTCCTACACCATATTTTTAAATTGTTTAGCTCTTTAACAATGAATTCATGTCAGAAAGGATAAGTCTACATCCTGTTTAACTGAATAGATAACTGTTTAACAGATTTGTAGAGTATAAATATGTCTGTCCTAATCTACTAATAAAATATATAACTTCCAAACTCTTATCTTTAAATTGCAAAATATTCATGATAGTTCATTTATATATGAGCTCACTTATATCATTTATACCTGAGACCCTCATTATCAAAAGTTCTCTAAAAATGTGTAAGAAATTCCAAAACACAAATGGAACTCACTGGCTAAGAGTATTTACTTGAGTCAGGCGTTTTATAAGACTGTTATTGGATTGGCTTTTATTACAAATAAAGGCCCTGAAAAATGCGGACACACCCCTCTTTTAGAAATGAGAAAACTAAGATTGAAAAAAATTATGTAAGGTAACATATATCAAGTAGATAGGAAAGTAAGGCTCTATCCCAGGTCCCTGTTCCCCCAGATTAGGCTGTTTCTAAGACTGTGTGATTCCTGTTATGTACCATGACCACTTAGAAAGATAAGATCAATTATGAACTGAAGATTTGACATATTAAAGAGAAAAATCACTGTATAAGAGCTATTTTTTTAAATATTCAACTTCTAAAAAAGTCTGCTGATAGCTGTATAAAGAAAATGTGATGTATGCACAATGCAATACTATTCGTCTATGTTTGTTTGTTTGTTTTTTTAATAATGCTAACTGCAGTAAAATGGAAGAAACTTGAGAATCCGTGAAACAAAATAAACCAGAAGGGGGAAAAACTTGTGGGGCTGGAGAGATAGCACAGCGGGTAGGGCGTTTGCCTTGCACGTGGCCGACCCGGGTTCGATTCCCAGCATCCCATATGGTCCCCTTGAGCACTGCCAGGAGTAACTCCTGGGTGCAGAGCCAAGAGTAACCCCTTTGCATCGCCAGGTGTGGCCCAAAAAGCAAAAAAAAAAAAAAAAAGGTAAGTTGGGAGATTTCACTTGTGTATACAAACAAGGAATTAAAACTAACATAGAAAGTAAAGTAAAGTAAAGTAAAGTAAAGGCCCTCCCGTTGATCATCGATTTGCTCGAGCGGGCCCAGTAACGTCTCCACTGGAGACTTTGTTGTTACTGTGTCTGGCATATCGAATACATCATGGGGAGCTTGCCAGGCTCTGCCGTGCGGGCGAGATACTCTCGGCAGCTTGCTGGGCTGGAGTGATAGCACAGCGGGTAAGGCGTTTGCCTTGCACGTGGCCTGACGGGGTTCGATTCCCAGCATCCCATATGGTCCCCCAAGCATGGCCAGGAGTAATTTCCTGAGTGCATGAACCAGGAGTAACTTCTGTGCATCGCTGGGTGTGGCCCAAAAAGCAAAAACTAACATAGAAAATAAAGAGAAAATAAGCGAGTAGATAGTGAGAAAAGTAAGGTTAGCTGAGAGGAAGAGATTGGGCAGTAGAAGAAATGGTGCTAGGTGGGCTCCATGGAGTAGTGGGAGGCTTTCACTGGAGGGTTTTGTTTGGATTGTGGTTTTGGTTTTTGGCTCACACACGGCGGTGCTCAGGGACTACCCACAGTGCAGTATTCGGGTTTGCTCCTGGAAGGGTTCAGAGGGCCACTGCAGTGTGAGAACTGACGCGAGCCTCTGCACGTACTCAAGTCTGATAAGCAGACTTTTTTGAAAAATAAAAAAATCAAACATATTCAACTACTTATGTCTGGACACTATCGGAAAAGCAAATCAATAAAGGCAATAATACTGTCTGTCATCTTAATAGGCTTAAAAGCAATAACAAGTGCTTTAAAGGTTTTTAAATACATTCAAAGGGTTTCTGAGACTATGCTATATATCAAACTGAAGGAATGAAAATTTTCTATTAAAAGAGTTTCATGGTACAAAGAACTAAATTATAAGTAGAAAAAAATGTTAGCAAATTAATGGGTTAACTAAAAACCATGACAAGACCGAAATAGTGAATTTGAAGAGAAAAACAGTATTTTTTTTTAGGAAAATAATCATGACACATAAAATACATATTAATGAAGGTTAATATATTTTATTTGTGTTATACTGTTACCGCCTGATCCTGACGACCGCTGGTCTGTCTCATCTTCATTCTCCAGCTGCTGTGTTAATGCCTCCTTGTAATTTTCCACTATTCCAAACTCACTGTTTTTTTGGCTATTGTCACTGATCTGACTTTGTGTCTCAGTTTGTTCATGCTCCATTTTAAGTCTTTGAATGCAGGTGTCATTACTTTTCTCCATATGTTGCCTCGCTTTCTCTTTTTGAAGTCTTTTTTCATTCTAACAAAAAAGAAAGATATCATCTTTATTGAAATGGCAATATCTAATTGTTTTAAGGGGGAGAAATCAAGCAAGAAGCATCCTGGTACTTCAGGCACTATATTTCTATTTGTAAACTGTTCATTGAATAAATCATCAAAACAAACAAATTACCAAGCATTCAGAAAACACAGGTAGAATAAAGAAAGAAAACACATATTACCAGTAATTTGACAATCTAGAGCTGATCACTGCCTGAACATCATTATGAAGAGGTGCTTCACTTGTTTACTGCACACACGTACAGATAGACACCACCACAAACATATGTCTGACCACCTCTTGTTTTTGCATTTTCAAACAAAATGTCATTGAAGTTTTTACTTAAATGCTTACTTACTAACTTGTCACTGCTATATGAAGTTCTGAGAATAGCATATGACATAGTAAAGCATTAGTTATATGCTATTTCATCTATATTATGCATTAGTATTTATTACTCTTAACAATTCCATTATAATTTTGAATGGTTATACAATTATGTATATTACCAATTTTCAATCAGCAAACAAAAAATATTTTTAACTTTTTATTTTAAACGATTAAACTATTTTAGGGACTAGAGAGATAGTACAGGCTCTAAGGCACTTGCCTTGCATGAGGCCAATCTGGGTTTGATTCCCAGCATCCCGTATAGTTCCCCAAGCTCACCAGGAGTAATTCCTGTGTGCAGAACCAGGAATAAACCCTGAGAACCACCAGCTGTGCCCCCAACCAAATAAAGAACTATTGTTTAAACTGCTGTAAATAACTATTACAAAAATACAATGGTTGAATCAGTGTTATATACATTTATGAAACTATATTCCTAAAACTTATATATTATAAACAACAAACCATTATATTAATACATTATAACATTATAATGTTATATAACAGATGATATTACATATAATTTAGGTTATATGCTATATTATAATGCTATAATAGAACATATTACAATAATACCTAAATACCTAATAGTAGAGTTACTGGATCTTTGAGCTGTGCATTTTAAAATGTGACATGCTAAAAGCTTACTTTCAGAAATACTAAAAACAAAATATAGCCCAGGCAAGTAATTGGAAGAGGGGCATTTCTCTGTATCCAATTATATGATGTATATTTTACTAACCTATTATATTTCCACCAAATTAAAATTACCTTAATGCTGATTTAATTTGATGCAAATTTTAACTAATGTCCCCTTAATAGTGAAGATGAGCTATTAATACCTGTATCTTATTTATTTTTTCTTTAGCAAACACAATCCAGAGGAACACAGTTCTCACTTTTCTATGAGAGTATGAGTTCTTTCATAGCAACTTTCATTTGTTCTCATTTTGAAGCATTCTGTTTTGTCCAATCTCAAATATCATACATTAGGGTTTTGTATTGTGGTGTATGTGCTTATATTTAATTTTATCAAATAGTGCTTTAGAAATGAAATAAAAATAAGATAAATCTAGGCACTCTTCATACTTTATGGCTTGATTATCCATTCAAAGTTTCCTACTCTCAGTATAGATTACATATATTGATCTACATTTATCTAAATCTACAATTATCTAAATGTAGATAATACATGTAATCTAAAATGCCATGAAATGTTGGTATTTTAAAAAGTCCTTTCTCTTTAAAATTATTTGCTTTGGGGCCAGAGCAATAGTAGAGCAGGAAGGTAGTTTGCCTTGTATGCAGCCAACCCAGTTGTGATCCCCCACATCCAAAACGGTCCAGGAAACCTGCCAGGAGTGATCTCTGAGTGCAGAGCCAGAAGTGAGTCCTTAGCACAAACAAGTATGGCCCTTCATCCCAAATTAAATATTTCAGTCTTCTGATATCAATTTGATAGATAATGTTCAATGATTTCACTTTTTTCTAAATGATTCCATTCTAGTCCTCTTTCCTCTCAGGTTCGAAATTTTATCATTATCTTAAACTAAATGCTCATAATGATGTTAACTTACTATTTGATCCATTTAATTGTCTATTCTATCTTTGTCTCATCATTAACAAAACTAATACAGAAATTATATCCTAATATATTTATTGTCTATGGTAAAAATCAAAGGGACATAAGATGCATCTCTAAAATGAAAACATTCTAAAGGAGTAATGTGGAGGTAAAGTATATTTGGCAAAAAGAAGTCTATAGGAAATTTGTTACATTTGTTTCATCTTCATCAAATTACCTTAATTTTAAAGTACAATGGGCTGGAGAGATAGCACAGCTGGTAGGGCATTTGCCTTGCAAGCTGCCGCCCAGCCTAGCCAGGTTCAATTCCTCCGACCCTCTCAGAGAACCCAGCAAGCTACCGAGAGTATTTCATCTACACAGCAAAGCCTGGCAACCTACCCCGTGATGTATTTGATATGCCAAACACAGTAACAACAAGTCTCACAATGGAGATGTTACTGAGCCCGCTTGAGAAAATCGATGAACAACGAGAGGACAATGCTACAGTGCTAAAGTACAATACCTGTATTTCCCCCATGCCGATTATTTATGACCTTTCAATGTAAGGTACACATATTCTGCTGTACACCATTATTGTTCACATCATTTTACTGCAAAAAGATTTCATTGTTGTTTGATGCTCTCTGGCCTTCTGGGTAATTTATAACCAATCTACTAAATAGTAAAATAATTATTCAATATTTACAAGGAGAGTGTTTATCTTCTACATACAAAATTGGATGCTTTCCACAGAGGCAGGGGGAGATGGGGGATGGGGGTAGGGGGGATATTATCCATGGTGGTGGAAAATGGGCACTGGTGGAGGGATGGGTATCTGATCATTGTATAATCAAACCCAAGCACAAAAAATTCTAAATCTACAACTGTACCTCATGGTGTTTCACTAATAATAAAAAAAAAAGTAAAAAAAAAAAAAAAAATTGGATGCTTCAAAATTAAATCAGATGTAATATTCTTCTTCTCTGCTAATATTTTAAAACAACATAAAATGTACCGTAGTATTTAATATGAGGGAAAGAAAAGAATGCTCAAATTATTTTTTTTAAAAAGAAGGTCTTACTGCACTTAAAAAGCACATGTTTAAGACCAATGAAATGGGTTTTATAAAAAGATAAAGAACAATTAACGTTGTGGTATTTTAGCAACCTCAGACCAAAGATCTCATGTTATCAATTATTTTTCGAAATAAAACACTACCAAAACACTCCAATCATCTTCTTACCTGCGGAGCTGCCTCCCTTCTCAGCAGCAGCCCCAAAGAAGAAATCATTCACCTTCCCAGAGGAGTACCTGTGTGGAAGGAGGCAGTAACAGGGGAAGAGCTAGAGAACACGTGGGGACCAGCAAGCCTGGTCTCAGTGAATGAAGAGGAAGTTTATGAAGCGCTGCCTCTAGAAGGCATGGCTGATGAGGCTGATTAAAGAAGCGTCAATGCGAAACTCCAGACACCAGTGGAAAATGAAAATCAAGTTACAAAGGGACACACATACGTGCACACAACCTGCAAACTCCTTACTCATAAAATACTAATTCTGATAAAACTTCTTATAATTTAAATGATATTCAGATGGAGGAGAATGTATTATACTTTCTAAGATTAATAGCCTAGGAAAAGGTAGAAAATATTTATTGATTTTAATGCATCATAAGAACGAAATTCTGCCATAAAGGTACAGTAATAGTAATATAGTGACAAAGACAATATATAAATTCATTGGTATTATATCAAATACATATAAAAATTATCCAGTTACTATGATAGTCACTATAGTCTTCATTTTTTTTATCCCCAGTTAAATTTGAAGTCATCTTTTAACTTAATCAGACAATAAAAGAGGAAGGAAAGACAAATTTTCATCCTTCTCTACCATTTCATTTCTGTTATAAATAATCTCTGGCAAAATACTTCTCTCTCTTCCCTAGCCTCCTTTCCAACACCCACCTTACTCCTTCAACATGCAACTTTGTAACTAAAGATACATAAAAATAGATGTGTATATATATGTATATATTTGCTACCATCCATACCTCAGAGATTACAGATGCTATTGGCTGGAAAGGATTACCAGCAAGTGGCTCAGGGTCCAACTCGGCCAGACTGCTGCTACCATCAAGTTCAGCCAGCTCTCGCGTTCTCTGTTCTCTGATGTTTGAGAAAAAAAAAATGGATTTCCTCATGAGAAAATGCTGGACCATGTTTATTTTTTTTCTTTCTTTTTTATATAAAAAATTTATTGGCTCACATAAGACAGTTACAAACTTGCATGATTCGGTTTCATTCAAACAATGCTCAAGCATCCATCCCTCCACCAGTGCCCATTTTCCACCACCACGGTTCCCAGTGTCCCACCCGCCAAACCCCATCCTACCCTACTCCCTGCCTCTGTGGCAGGTACAGTCTTTCTCTCTAATTTTGGGCATTGTGATTAGCAATTCAGATACTAAGAGGTCATCATGTTTAGTCCTTGGTCTACTTTCAGCATATATCTCCTATTGGGCGAACCCTTCAATCATCATTTACTTAGTGGTCCCCTCTCCGTTCTAACTGCCTTTCCCCCCAGCACATGGGGCCGGCTTCCAAACCATGGTGTGATCTTCAGTGTGTTACTGACTGGACCATGTTTAAGAACACATGTGATCAGTTTAAGGCTACTGAAAACAGAAACACAAACATCTGGATATAACGTTGAATTACTGATTTCCCAACAGGTCTCTACCCCCATATAAAAATTAATCAGTTGAACTTTAAGGTGAAGAAATAAATACCAATAAGAGTGGCACTCCCTATGGCTGATTTCTTGATCTAATATAGCCAAGAGCTGAATCATCTTTCTGTGGTCCAAAGTTTAGATTTCTGTAGGGGCTAGAGAGAAAGTTCAGCAAGCAGAGCACCTGCTTTGCCTTCAGCACTCCCGGATTCAATCCCGGGTACCACAGAGAACACCAAGCATTGTCTGGAACAACCCCAAAGCACAGAGCCGGGTATGGCCCTGAAATTACAAACAACAAAAAAAATGTTTCCGTATTTTTAAATGACTCCCAAACCAACCATGTCCTTTTTGGTCATATTAAAACAAAACAAAGTATTCTTACTTAAGCCTCTTCTTAGGCTCTGTGTATATGGAAAAACTAGCAACAATTGTTGTATGTAAAGGAAAAGGCTATGAAAATAAGTTCTCCTGCAAAATATTAAATATTGACCCATTAATTACTGCTAAAATATTAACTATCTTTGATTTATAGTTATTGCTATATTATCCATGGAGAGTAATAAGCTACTAAAATATGTAGCTGAAAACAGAAAAAAATCAGTATCATTGATCTAAAACTAAGATGAAAATATACTAGAACAATGTCAACATTTATTGTGACAACATGTATTATTAATTTATTCATTACCTGTAATGGAATGGGTTAAGTTTTCACCCAAAATTCAAGAGCCAATTAGGTAACTACGATTTACTACCATTGTACTCTTAGGCAAATACCTAATTCTTAAGAGAGTCAGATCCAAAACTATAACCTCTCAAATTCCAAAAATGTGATAAAAGAATGTATTTGAAAAATAAAACAATATATGTGAAAACACTCTATAAATAAACATACTGACAAGACAGCAATCCCTAACATTTTCCACTTATTTGGCAAGCAATTTCAAGGAGACCTGACACTGGCATTATTTCCACATAAAATTATATTCTATGTTTTTCTTTTCCTCAAAAAATATCTTAAGATGGGGCAGAAGAGATCGAATAGCAGTGGGTAATGTGCTTGCCTTACATTTGGCGAAATAGGGTTTGACTCTGCTCCGGATATGGCTCACCAAGCAGCACCAAGAGTCATCCTTAAGTGCAGAGCCAGGAATAAACGATGAGCACTGCCAGGTGTGCCCCCCCACCCCCACCTCAAATTAATAAATATATTTCTTAAGAAGGATTTTATTGAAAGCAAAATATTTTATTTTGCCATCACTTCTCTCTAAATATACTTTAAATTACTAAATATCTGCTCAACAAAAGATGCCAAAACTAAAAGTGATATACCTAATAAAAAATCAGGAGAAAGGAATTTATATCATAAAGTCGGCTATAGGGGCCAGAGCAACAGTACAATACAACAGGACATAGAGGACACTTGCCTTGCACGTGGCCAACCTGGGTTCAATCCTTAGTACCTCATATGGTACTCTGAGACCTACCAGGAGTGATTCCTGAGTACAGAGCCAGGAGTAAGCCCTGAATACAGTCAGTTGTGCACCCCCCCAAAAAACTAATTTTTTTAAAAAGTCTGCCATACCAAGATGTATAATAGCTTTTTGAGAAAAATACAAACTTGAAAACAATAAGTGATTTATTCAATTTAAATTTTTTGGATGGGTAGTAAAAGAGAAAAGTATTCATGTGTTTTACATGTATGAATATATAAATGGTGTTTCTCAAGAATGATTGGCTGTACTGAGATTTATATCATAAAAATATACTTGGGGGGGGCAGAGAGACAGTAACAGATTAAGACACTTGCCCAGCATGTGACAAGCGCAGGTTCAAGTGCAGGTTCAGGACTGACTATATGGTTCCTAGTACACTGCCAGAAGCAGCCCCTGAACAATGCACAGTTAGATATGGTCAAAAATCCCAAACATCCCCGCCCCCCCACACACACCCCCAAAATTACACTAAAGAAGAACCGAAACAGAACAAAAAAAAAAAGATTTCTCTCAGTATTTCCATATTGACAACTATAAAAAAGACAATTATTTCCATTTTCCCTCTACGATACCAAGAGATGAGTGAGTTACTTACATTATTTTGCAATTCTGGATATATGGTTCTCCCATAATTAAGACAGAGTCTTATTTTGTCTTATCTCTGACTTACATGAATGTTATCAGCAGACAGAAGATACCATTGGCAGCAAACAAGATATCACAAGACATCACCAAGGGCAATTAGTGGGTTTTTATCTACCAGACTACAATTACATTACAGCACTTAGAAAATCATTATTACGAAAGTGGATGGAGGATAACATGAGCTCAATTAAAGTTTTTTTTTTAATTTCCCCTGCCTGTACCCATGTAACAATCCCGTGGAGAATGAGAAAGTTTTGGGGGGGATTAAGTAATCAATTTAACTTCTAATAAAACTAAGTACCTCCTCACAGCACCAAGAATACTAGAAAGGGGAGCCAGTGAGGAGAGATAGTCTAGCGGAGAGGGCGTTTGCCTTGCATGCAGCTGACCTGGGTTCGATTCCCTGGCATCCCGTATGGTCCCCCAAGCACCATCAGTGGGTAATTCTTGAGGGTAGAGCCAGGTGTAGCCCCTGAGCATTGCTGGGTGTGACCAAAAACAAAATTAAATTAAAAAATTTTTAAAAGAATATTAGAAAGAAATCACACAATTTATATTTTCAGGAAAGAACCAAACCCAGCAGTGCTCAGGAGAACAAGTAGTGTTCTGGACTGACTGAAAACTCCTGAATGCAAAGCATTCCCTTGTGCCTGTTGAGCTTTCTCCCTGACCCTATGGCCTCTTCTTACTCATTCCTTTCAAGCCATGCATTTTTAAAATTACTTTCAAAAGATATTTTAAAAAATCAGAGTACGAAGTCCACCTTCTTACAAAACTAGTTGAAGGCCTAGTATTACAATAGTCAACTCATCCTTTCATGGATGACCTATCTTTTCTGATAGTATTCTGAATCCACTGACATAAAGGGCCCAAGAATTCTTGACTGTGGGAGGGAAGCCTGTGTGTGTGACGGTATTGAGCAGCAACCAATGTCACCTACTCACTATATGCCAGTGGCACTCCTCCGCAATCAGTTGTCACAAATTTTGAAAACTTCTCTAGAAATTGCCATTATTCTTGGAGTAGCAAATTCATCCTGTTGACTAAGAACTAGTGTTTTAAATATATTCCTGTGGAATAAGAGGTAGGGGCCAGGGTGCATGTTTTGCACATGCTGGACCCAAGCTTAATTCCCTGAACAACATGACCCCAAGCACCACAACAGTTGACCTGATGAGTCTGCAACACTGCAGAGCCCATGCAACCCAAGACCCTGGGTCCCTAGCACTAAACAGAGAAGGGGAGGTGGAAGAGAGAGAGGAGAGGAGGGGATAGGAGGATGGGAAAAGGAAGAAGGAGAGGGAGGGAAGAAGGGAGAGAGGGAGGAAGGAAAGCTATACTCTGAGAAATAGTTGCCCAAAAAAAGTTAACTACAGTACTGCCACAGGAAAAAAATGAATTAAATAAAGAAAAGGAAATCAATTAAATGAGCCTATTTATTACCTTTCTTCCCGTAATTTTCGCACACGTTCTGCCCTTTCTCGTTTCTCTTGCTCTTCTAGAGCACGTTGTTCTGTTGTGTCATTTTGGATGCGTTCATTTAAGGCATCAAAATCTCTTGCAATGATATGCAACAACCAAAAAAGGCCCTTTTTAATAGACTTGTCAATTTTTTTTCCATATCCCAAGACTGCTGAACAAGGTTCCTGAAAAACAATAGTTTGATTAAAACATAAAAACTTATCTCAATAAAACTAATCTAAAATAAGTTATCTGAACATTCTATTCATAAACAATTACATATAATTACTGATAAACAAAATGAACCCATTTAAACTAATGAACATTGTTATCTTAACTTGGAATACTCACCTTTATAATAATTGCTAACATCTGCACAGAAATGAAACTGTTTATGGACAATTTCTTAAAACTGTGAGAGACAGTATAACACAAAATTGGTAAATAAAATTGAATTGCCAGGAGAAATATATCATTTTAATAAAAATACTAGGAAGCCTTCAGTCCTTTTGCTAGGGAATTTATAGCAATAAACATCTATTAAGATTAGCAGCCAAAAAATAAAATAAAATAAAAGATTAGCGGTCAAATTATTATTAAAATATTAGATGATTTATTTTCTTAAAATTTTTTTGATAACTGATATAATTTTTCAGTATTCATTGTAGATATATTAAAGTTTTCTATTTATAGACTGAACATGATTGCCACTCCATGCCTCTTTTGAAAACCTCAGCAACCAAAAGAGGAGAGAGAACAAAAGGGAATGCCCTGCCACAGAGGTGGGATAGGATGGGGGGATGGGAGGGGCGGGAGGACTACTGGGATCATTGGGGGCGGAGAATGGGCACTGGTGGAGGGATGGGTACTCGATCATTGTATAACTGAAACCCAAGCACAAAAACTTGTAAGGTCAACAACTGTACCTCATGGTGTTTCACTAATAAAAAAAATTTTCTACTTATAATTTTTCTTTCTTTATTTTTTAACCATTTTATTAAATCACTGTGAGAAAGACCCTTACAAAGCTGTTCATGATAGGATTTCAGTCATACAGTATTCCAACATCCATCCCTCCATCAGTGTATATTTCTCAGCACCAGTGTCCCCAGGTTCCCTCCCATCATACCCCACCCACCACCCTATACTTTTTCTTGATTCATACAATATTAATGACATGACACATTGAATAGCTTACAAGACCAGTCGGTAGGACAAAGAAAATGAAACAAAAAGGAAATCCTAAAATGTTAGAAAATATCTTACAAAACTCAGTAACATCTCAACAAAAACACTAAAGAGAAAACAAATACAGTATTAAAACGAAGCAGTATATAATTTTCTGGATAAATAAATGAATATTTATTTAATGAAATTTTGTTAGTGTCTTAACACCTAATTTCCTATCATCTTTTCAAAAACTAAAATATGTTGAGAGGGCAAAAGAATCACAAAAACTTACTATTTGACAAAGGCACTTGTGCTCATTGACCAATTTTTCCAGAGACAGACACTCAATTACATCAGCTTCTCCTAAAGCCCCTTCCTTGTCTTGCTTATTTGCCAACCTAGGGACACAAATGAATTAGCTTTATAGCAAATACATACTTAGATGACCACTTAAAAATATGATAATCATTTGTTTCATTCCAAATATGTCAGACTAATCACAAAACACACATGCTTTAGAAAATATCAGAGATTATAATCATTTTTATTTTATCTTTAGAGCAAATGTTTTTCTGAATTGCTCTACAGGAATCACAGAGATATTTCAAATGGTTGCAGCTCATGCTTTCTTTGCATGTAAGACTCCAGGGCTGATCACAGCAAGTAATGGCCTCCTGAGCACCACCAGATGGGGGTCCTCCACTCTCCCCAAGAGAACTGGTCTATCAAAGGATATCAGATAATAAAAGATTAACAACAATCAAAATCAATAAGTGGAAAATACGGGCTAGTTTCTACAGCCTTCAGCCATCAATTCCAACATTCACAATGTGCCCTAATTTTTCTTACATCATTTTCTGATGCAGGAGACTTTAATCCTATCACAACCATCTAAAAGCACAAACATGTGAAAAAACACACATATTCTTAACATATGATATCTGACCAAATTTGTATTCCCAGTCTGTGAATGTGTCCACGTAAGTGGGCAATTCTTTGATGATATGGAGAGTCTTCTATTTACTCAAAAGCATTCTTCAATTAGGAACAGTTCAAGGAAACAGCATGATGACAAACCAAATTTGAAAATAAAAACCCTAGGAATCACTCCAAAATGTGCTGACCGCTTTCAACTGACCGAAATTAAAATGTTTAAATAAAACATGCATGATGTCTGAAATCTCAAAGTGAGTGAATCACTTATTTTCTGGGATTCTTCCATGTTAACAAGCGTTACATACGTTTTAATATATTTCTTTTTACTTTCTCTGTATCAATCTGTCTGGTGCTTATTGGATCATCTATCTAACCTCTGAAGACTCCCAAGAATAATTTGTTGTACTCCAACAATCATCAAAATATATTTGATCATTGTATAATTGAAACCCAAGCACAAAAAATTTTAAGTCTACAACTGTACCTCATGGTGTCTCACTAAAATTTTAAAATTCAAATATAAACAAGTATGGGGAAACAGTATCTCTGAAGATCACATCTGCATACAATGAATGTTCACTGCTCTTAATTGATTTACGTATTGGTGGGCAGACCCTATTTTCTTCCTCAATAATTAGCATAATTTATATCTTCTGGCACCATCAAGTTCCTTTTTTTTTTAATACACAAGAGTGATTTCTGAAATTACCCTAAAATAGAGAAATAGTCTTTGTTGATTTTCACAGGTACAAACTGCTCACTGGATCTGAGTCCTATCTCATTCATCCTACAATAAAGAATTTTTAGATTCCTCAATTTTGATTTTATAAAGACAGCTTTAAGAATTGGTGAGAAGCTGTTTTGGGAGCAGAATACAAAATGTAGGACCAGCAAATCAAAGAATAATTGCAATCCCTCCCTACTCTCAAACTCAAATCATAACTCAGATAGAAAAAATAAGCAAGGGTAAAAGTAGTTGGTGTGCTTACCAAATATCAATTCTAAATTTCCCTGAAAATATTTTATGTAATAATAATAATATTGTCAGGCTGATAAACAGTTTAACAAATATTACTGAAAAGTTTAGTTCTACATTGAAAATCATTGAAAAAATTTATTTCAAAATTCTAAGTAATTATAAGTGAATGATGGAATGTACTGTTTAAAGACAGGAGCCTTTTTCTTACTGTTTTAATTCTAGACTTTATGAGCTAATTCATTGGGATTTTCTAAAAACAGCTCATAAGTGAATAACTTTTAGAGGGGGGTGATGGAGATCATATTAAGCCATGTTCAGGGAACCATGTGGTACCAGGGACTGAACCCAGGACTTCAGACCAACCCAGTCCCAGTCATTTTCAAATAAATGAAGCAAAATGCCTCTATACTAAGTGTATTTTATTTCTGTTTATTCCAAAATCTGTATTTTTAGCAAGTTTTGATAGCTAATAATAACCATCCTCTTTGATACAACCCCTTTCATTGTAATGCATTTTACATATTATATAGGATTATAATTATAGAGAGTGCAAATACTCTGCAAGCAGTTTAACAAGGACTTCCTGGTAGCAATGGCACCAATGAAAATGATCTTCCTTTAATATAAAGAACTGCTAACAGGCAGAACCGGATTCTCCAGGTGTGAAGTAAGCAGTTTGTTCTTCTCATTTGCTGTTAACAGCGAAAGGACAACTTTATCTCTACCTTATTTAATTTCATTATTTGGTTTTCAATTAAGTTAACATTATGAAAATCATACAGAAATTAGACTATCAGAGAGAACTGTAAGAGAGATTTAATAACTTTGTCAAAACGCTACAGATGATATTCAGGCTTTCTCTCAAAGGCAGACTCCAACACGGCAGGTGGAAAATCAACAAATGGAACAAGACACAAAGGTAAATCAACCACTGTTTTTTGCACTTGTAAATGTGAGACCTACATAGAATGATATCTGGTATTTTGTAACATTTTAATTTAGCTCAACAGGGAATTCAAGTTACTTGCTTTGCTCAGGTTAAGTCTGGGCTACAAGGCAGCTGATCTTTTCATTTATACTACCAAAAGGCTAAATGGAGTTTGGGTTTTTATCACTCTAAAGATATTAACTTTTCCTTTATTCTAAAACATTTAAAATCAGATAGTAAAAAGACTTGAAATTCATTTGTTAAATCTATAGAGTATGTTGTGCTCATTTTAAAGAACAGTCTATCTTTTTAACACTGAAAAGATAGGTGTGCCTTCTTTTGACACATGCATAACATTAAATTTAAGATAATTTGTCATAAATGTTTGCCTCCCACAACCTTTTTAAATTAATTTTAGGATCTGAGAAAATAATTTTGTTTCAAAGGACTACTCAAGGTCTACTCTAAAATATCAAAGCTCTCACTTTCCTAAGGTTTCAACTAAAATATCCACAGTACTAAAGTTACAGAACAAAAGAAATAATTTTTATGTTAAAAATTATAAACCATTATCATTTAAGGTAAGACATACAAGCAGCTACTTTTCAAACTACACAATATAGAAGCTTACCAAAACCTATTTTGTCTTTTCAAATTTATTTTATAACTGTAACAACATTAGATATTGGCAACTCATTTTGTATCTAAATGACTATTATTAAGCATACACTTAAAAGTTATCTATGTAATACATAGAATACTTCATTTTATGCAATTTAAAATTTCACAAGTCTTAATATTTAAATAAAATTGTATTATTATAAAATTAATTTATTTGGTATAATTAAAATACATACCAAAAAACAGGATAAAAAGGCACTAGATGATTACACTATAAAAATATGAGAAAACTTAGAAAATATGTAATTTTCAATAATTTTTAATGTTCATTTTTCTTATTTAAACAAACCAGAGGTGAACATTCAGAAATAATCACCGCTTTCACTGTGATCTATGCAGTTGTTGCAATGTTTTTAAACACAAAGACAAAACAATATTCCATTTTATGTTGGATAAAAAGTTTTTTTAAATACTTCAATCAACACAGCATCTATACAGAGAAGCTACTTTCTAAAAATCTATGACGTGACTATTCTATGGGCTATTTTTTTTAAGCAGTAAGTATTTTTCATCCATGTTTGTGTTCTTTGAGTCATACAAAGTTACTTTTATATTGCCTACAATAAATCGTTGGAACTGATGGTCATATCTGAATGTTCTTTACACAAATATCTGTTAAGCTGACATGACAATATACTGACAATATGAAATGATAAAGAAATTCAGTAAGATAAGTATGTTGAAAGATGGCTTATATGTTTGGATAATATTCTGACATTAAGTTTTAGGTGCACAAGAGAGTCCATAAAGTGATGATCTCATCTTAACAAGCCTGAGCCATTAAATGACTTTCCAAGGATAAGCCTAATATTTTTGTTTTGTTTTGTTTTGTTTTTATTTGCCTGTTTTGGGTCCACACCCAGCGGTGCTCAAGACTTACTTCTGAACTTAGGGATCACTTTGGGCAGGGCTGGGGGATCATATATGGTGCCAGAGATCAAACCTACATCATTTGTGTGCAAGGCAAGAGCCCTACCTACTGGGCTACCACTCCAGTCCTGAACCTAATAATATATGCCTATTAATTCAGCCTCATTCAACTTTTAAATTGAAGTAAGTTTATATTAATATATGTATATGTATATATCACTTTGCCCAATTTATGATATAAAAGTGAATTAAATAGAAAATTATTATTCATATCTCGCCCGCATGGCAGAGCCTGGCAAGCTACCCAAGACGTATTCAATATGCCAAACACAGTAACAACAAGTCTCACGAAGGAGACGTTACTGGGCCCACTCGAGCAAATTGATGAACAACGGGAGGACCGTAACCGTGATAGTTAGAAATATGCATCTACAAAAAAAGTTTATGTTTTGTTTTGTTTTTATTTGCCTGTTTTGGGTTCACACCCAGCGGTGCTCAAGACTTACTTCTTAACACAGCATGTAAGTGCACCTGAGTACCTAAGTAAATCAATTTCTGAACAGATAAATAAGGACTTAAGGAACACATTGATGATGTTAATTCTATAATCAACTGTGACTTTCACTCAGATACACAGATATTCAAAGTCCTTCTTCATGCTACAAATATACACAAATGCTTGATATAATCATAAGAAAATAATCTGTACTACATTATTGCATTCCAAATTTGAGAAAGGGACACTTGTGATTATCAGAAATGAAAAACACATTCATAATCAAAGTAGAGAGAAAAAATTAGAACTTATTCCACTGACCAAGGAATATACTTTTCCAGAGAAGCTGAAGTTTAGGGTTTGTGCATGATAGGAAACTAAAACTGATTTTCCTAGAAAAAAAGTATTAAAGTCAGAAAAAAATAGAAAATAGGTGTTTATTATATACAGAGACAGAAAAAATTCTGTTAGCTTGTCCAAGATTATATGATATGAAAGTTACTTGCTT